CTCACTGGTGGATTCTAGAGGGGCTCTACCACTGAGCCACACTCCCCAGCCCCTCACTAGTGGATTCCTGAGGTGCTCTACCACTGAGCTGTCTCCATAGCTCCCATTCCCCACCTTTAAAAATTTTTAAAACATTTATGTGTATTGAATGTTTTGTCTGCATGTATGTTTGTACAAAATGTGCATGCCTGGTGCCCATGAATGCTAGAGGAGGGTGTCAGATCCCCTGGAACTGGAGTTACAGAGGGTTGTGAGCTACCATGTTGGCATGGGAAATGAACCTGGGTCCTCTGGAAGAGCAGCCAGAGCTGACAGAGCCATCTCTTCTGCCCTTTCACCTTCTTTTTCCTTTTCGAGACAGTGTTACCTGGGGTGCTTTGATCTTTCAGTCTTCCTGCTTGTTGGATCCTGGAGTTACAGACAGTTGTGAACTGCCATGTGGATACTGGGTCCTCTAAGCCATGTCTATGGTTATATATATATATATATATATATATATATATATATATATATATATTTATTTAGTTATTGAGAGAGGCCAGAGAGGACAGCTCCTCAGTTCTACCATGTAGACCTGGGTGTGCAGATCCAATGGGCATGAAATCGAGCCTCACTGAATGCCCAGGAAAAACTCTTTTTTTTTGGTATAGGAAACACTTTGTCACTTGTTTACAGGCCTCCTGGGCTGTGTTAACCTAGGCTAGCATAGAACTCTCAACCACTCAGGCTCTGTATCTCCCTGCACAGCCAGCAAAGGGGAAGGGATAGGAAAAACCCACAACGGCCGATCCCTAGTGGCTGGGTGACCTGGACTCATTCAGAACCTTCTGCTTATCTATAGATTAGAGTTGTTGGTAGTGACAGAGTTTCCTTGTTTATTTGAGACAAGACCTCATATAACCAAGGCTGATCTTGAATTTCCTATGGAATCAAGGACAGTCTGACCCTGAGTCTTCTGCCTCCCTCTCTTCAATGCTAGGATCCCAGATCTGTAGCACCATGCCTGACCCACAGTTATGTCCTTGCTCTGTATTGAACATGTACTTGAGTGTTCATTCTGGGCTGCAAACTGAGGGCAGCAACTCCAAGGGACTTGCCTCTCTTGTGCTGCTCCACACAAGGTGCCGATGTCAATGGGAGGAGTGAACCATCTCTTTAGCACCCACGTTTTTATTTCAGAGGCTATATTTGTTTCTTTGTCTGGTTTTGAAACTAGGAAGCTGGGTTTGCCTCTCATCCCTCATTCTGTCTGATCCCATTCTAACCAGTGGCCCCTTTGGGGCCTCTTTAGTTTGATCTGGCCCTGCCTCCATCTCCCCTGCTTTCTCTTGCCTCTCCCTAGTTTCCTCAGCTATTGCTTGCTCTGCTCTCTTTTCCTAGGTTCAAGGATGAGCCAGCTCCTACCCACGAACTGTCCCACCGCTATGGTGAGTAGTGTCTTGGAAGGGGTTAGGGTTAAGCAGTGGGGTTTGAGTGTGGCATGTACTGTGTCCCCATCCCCTAAGTTCTTGGATCTGGGCTTTTATTGTAGATGACCAAACTTGGGCAAGGCCCCCTAAGCCCCCCACTTTTGGAGAGTTCCTTTCTCAGCACAAAGCAGAAGTCAAGAGCCGCAGGAGGAGAAAGAACAGCCGACCCCAGGCCAAGGTGGCCCCTCGTGCCTATAGGTGGGTTGCCCTTCCCATGGGAAATTCTTTCTTGTTGTGTTTGGGTGTGTGGAGTCCTTCTCTCTGGCTTGAGTTTGAGGACACACTGATCTGTCTCAGCTCTGTTTGTGTCTGCTGTCCTCTTTGCCCTCTGTGCAGCAGAACAGATGTTCTCTGAGAAGTCTGTCCCCTCACCTAGGCCCTACCCCTGTGCTCTCTCCTCCCCAGTGACCATGATAATCGCTGGGAGACAAAAGAGGAAGCTGTGTCCTCAGCCCCTGAGTCCTCTCAACCCTTGTCCCTGGAGGAGACACCCACACAGGTAAGGCAGAGCAGGGAGAAGGTGGGATGTGTGTATGGGCGGGGTGGGGGTTCAGCCCCAAGCCTTTCCCTGATCTGCCTGTTTTCCCAGCAGCCTCCGGAGACCCCAGCCCCAGCCCACCGGCCTCCTGAGGAGGATGGTGAGGAAGATGAGGGGGAAGAGGAGGGAGAAGAGGAGAGGGAAGATGATGATGAGGATGAAGAATGGGAGGACGTGAGTGAAGATATCACGGAGGAGGAGGACGAGGAGGAAGAAGAGGAGTTTGAGGAGGAGGAGGAGTGTCCTAAGGAGCAGGAGGCCCCAGCTGTTCCAGATCACCAGCCTGGAGAGGCTGAGCCAGCTCGGAAGCCAACCTGTGAGCAGGCGGACCCTGCACCTGCCAGGCCCCAGGAGTCATTGTCCCCAGTCCCTGTTGAACCTCCCATCCCCTTCTCGCCCACTGGGGACCACCAGCCCGTGTCCGACTGGGGTGAGGAGATGGAATTGAATTCTCCCAGCACTGCCCACTCTCCTGGTGCCCACTCTGCGGGTGATTCCTGGCCTTTTGGGAATGCGTGAAACCAGCTGTCTCTGTGTGTGTGTGTGTGTGTGTTTGTGTGTGTATGTGCATACGCACGTGTGCACGTGTGCACTCATGCTCCTGTGAGCTCACAAGGGTGTGGCTGTGCTCACACCTCCCTCAAACCCTGTGGCGTGGCAGGGAAGGGCAGTTGGTGGCTACTCCATGCCTTAGCCCATTTCCCAGAGCCTGCTCTTGCTGGTTCAGAGCCTCTCTCCAATAAAAAGTTCATTTCCTTAAATGACACACCCCCATTGTGTCCTTGAGCCCCCTCCCTCATTCCCCTCACGCTGGGAGGTGTTTGGAAAAGGAGGGGCTTGACTGAGCCTCCCCTTCTCCAGGAGGTGACCAGCCAGCCCTTGGCTCCTTGGAGAGTGGGCCAACCTTGACAAGAGCCCCGAAGTCTGAAGAAGAGGGGCCTGAGGCATCTCCAGGTGGGGTGCATGAAGCTGGTGGAGGTGGGTGGTCTGCTTGCATTCTGGGGGCTGGGAAGGGCTTGGGGACAAAGTGGGTGGGGCCTATGGGGTGATGCGGGGGAGGGGGGCAGGGCATGAGGTGAGTCTGGTGCTGTTCCATGCCTACTCGAGTCGAGTGGGCCTGGAGTCAGGCCTGAGTCGGTGCAGAGGGTGGGCTTTAAGGCTCCAGCCGACAGGAATTGTGAATAGCTGGGCTGGGAAGCTGGAATCGGGAAGCTCATTAAGGTAAAGGGTTGAGGCTAGGTTTAGGGAGGGAGTTAGAGGTGGGATTCAAAATCTGAATGTACCCAGAGGGAAGAGGCTGATTCCCTACAATCTTGAGCTTGAGACTACTTTTGTAAAAGCAAAAAGTAGGAACGAACGAATGAACGGGGCCAAATGTTAGACTTACTGAGGTCAGGGTTAGCATTTTGGAGCAGACCTGAGTGGAATTTTGGACCCCGCAGAGTAGAAGCAAGAGGCTGATCTTGGCGTCTTAACGTGGTGGACCAGGTTTCTTGCCTGTCTTCCTCTTTCCCTTCCCCTGCAGCGGGATAGGGTGTGGAGCAGAGCCCAGGAACTGACAGTCAAATGAGTGGTGGGGATGGAGACCGAGGGACCGGGCTAGAAAACAGTGTGTGGTCCTAGGAAGATGACGGTTATTTCATTATACCAGCGCTTCCCAGTTGTCGATGGGGTTAGGTTAGAAGGGGCTCTGCTTCGTGGGCTTCCTGAGATTTGAGTAAACTGGAGGCCAAGCTGCAGGCTGGTTTGACTGAGGTGCAGGACAGGGCGGATCGAGCAGGCTGGTCTTCCATTTACCACTTTTTATTTCCTCAGAGGTAGGCCCCGAGGGCCAGGAGACAGCGGAGATCACAGACTTCCAGAGGGTGCGTTTCTGCAAGGTGGTGGCGGCCGCTCCGCCGCCGGGGGCTGCCCGCTGACAGCGCCAGCAAACGGGTCTTGGCGCTCTGCACTAACCTCCAGCCACTTCGCTCCTTTGCTTCTGCTACACTCCGGCCAGGACAGGGTTAAACGTAGGGGGTGGGAGGAGCCAGGTCAAAGATGACGTTCGGACCCGGGGAGTCTTCTAAATTCTCTGAGGACCAGTCTAGGCAACCTGAATGCCTATGATACCTGGCTGGTGGAGGCCACCGAGTCAGCCCTTGTGAGGCTTTCTGTGCAGGACTCTGCCGCTAGGGCCTGAGGCTCTCTGGAGGACTTGAATTAAAGGCGTGCTCTCGCCAACCTTTGAACTGTGCTGCTGGCGGGACAGGCTGGGCTGCTGTGCTTGGCGGGCTTTGCTGTGGCGGAAGAGGCGGGACGAGGGTGTTCTCCGCCGTCCTGACACCTCTCCCCTCCCACCCCGCAGGCCATCCCTCAATCCTGAAGACGCTGCTGGGAGGGGCGGCAGCGCAGGTTTGCCTGGCTGCTTTCGTCCCTGCAGCCCACTCTGTACCTCTAGGGAGCGGGAGAAGTTACACTGGTGCGGAGTTACTGGGGTAGGGGCCAGCTGGGGCGAGGGCCGGAGCTGGATCCTCCAAACTGGTGCAGGCGGCCCAATGCTGTGAAGCAGGGAGGGGCGGGGCTAGCGCTCTTTAGGCGTCCTTCTGCTCCATCAGACTGGGGACCTGACTTTTGTGTGGGAGTTGCAATCGACGCAAGAAGGAAGGGTTCCTCTGGGCGGTGGTGGCGCACACGCCTTTAATCCCAGCACTCGGGAGGCAGAGGCAGGCGGATCTCTGTGAGTTCGAGACCAGCCTAGTCTACAGAGCTAGTTCCAGGACAGGCTCCAAAGCTACAGAGAAACCCTGTCTCGAAAAAACAAAAAAAAAGGGGGGGGGGAAGGATTCCGACGAGCTGGGAGGAGCCCAGAGTGGGGAACAGGAGTCTCAGGGCGCTTGGAGAATAAGCAGGTGTGGCTGCGAGGGGTGTGGCTAAGATCTTTTCTTGATAGTGATTGGCCAGAGGCGGTAGGGCGTGTCTAGGGTGTGGCCAGACTTGGTTGGGGGGCCGGGGTGATTTAGAGCAGGTGGGAAGCTCTTATGGGGGGGTGTGGTCCTAGGAGGGGCGTGGTTTGCGTGATGTGGTATAAGGCGGGGCCTGGACCTCCGTGGGGCGGTACGGGGTGGGGGCGGGGCCAGCGCGGGTGGAGTGGGCAGCGAGATGCGGGGCTCGAGCTGTGTGGGCGGCGGTGGCGAGAGCCCAGGCAGCGCCGGGCTGAGCGAGGCTCCCCGTGGCCGATGGCTGCGCCTTGCTCCGGTGTGCGCCTATTTCCTGTGTGTGTCCTTGGCCGCCGTGCTGCTTGCGGTGTACTACGGGCTTATCTGGGTACCCACGCGGCCGCCCGCCGGCCCGGCCGACCCCCTACCCAGTGCGCCTGCAGCTCCTTGTGCCCGTGCAGCGCCACCCGTCCAACCTCCTGCCGCCTCCTGCTTGCTCGGAGCCTCCGGCGGGCCAAGACTGCAGCCGCCGGGACTGCCACGGAGCCGCCGCCACAGCCGCCGCCCAGCGCCTGGAGCGACGTCCGAGACCGTGTCCGAGACTGTGCACCGAGCGCCGGGATAGCCGCGGCCTTCGCCAACTCCCTCCGCACCACTGGGCCTCGCCTGCGGCCTCATCTCCCCTGGCCGTGGTCCTGATCCAGACCGACTTCCACCCACCACGTTCCTCCCTGGAACTCAGCGTTCATCTGCAATAAACTCCAGCCTCAGCTGAGCTTCCCTGGTCTGTGGTCGTCTGCAGCGCACGCTGGTCCCCTCTCGAACCCTGTAGTATCGCAGCCTTAGAGGCTTTTCTCTTCATTGCTAACATGTAAATTTTGGGTTGAATTGGGGGGAAAAGCGGCTTGCCAGTTTCAGGGCTGTTGAAGGTCAGATACTGTGAAGGCCTTAACAGTTTTCGGTGTGTCAAGGATGGGGCCCTTGTGTCGGAGGAGACAATCATGGGAACTGCTGTTGGTATAGTTTGCAGTGGCAGGAATAGAAGCTGTCGCTTGTGCTCTTAGGCCCTGGCCAGTGATGCTGTAGCTTTTTTCCTGGAGTCAGAGAGATGAACCCGGGGTTTGGGCGGTGACAGTACACATTTGCTGCTTTGGGAAGTGTAGAGTATATAACTGAACCAAAAAAATGAGGTGGGTACAGCCTCTGGGCTATACTGCTGCTGGTGCTTTGACTGAGAAGCTGGTATAGCTTCTGATAAAGAAGTCAGGCGATTGAGTCCATTTTCCCTTACCTGTTACTGCAGCCTGGCCTTAGGCAGGCTGGGATACCCTGCTGCAAGAAGGGGTTTTCCTGTATGACCTTCTTTCCCCTTGAGCTGGACAGCATCCCAGGAACTGAGCTTTGTGTCAGCTGGGAGCATGTCATCTGCCCTACTGGTTCCCTTCTGTTCCACCAGCATTCCCCACAGGACAATGCACAGCCATGTACTTAACCTCTCTGGTCTTGTAAAATGAAGATAGCCCAATTTTGCTCAGAGAATTAAACTCGTGATCCAAACCTGAGGACGGTGTTTTGGCTTGCTCCCTGTCTCCACCTTGTCCTTCAGCCCACTCAGAGTCACCGCTTACATTTCCCTGGGTAGCCTGTCAGCCCAAAGTGCCACACACCAGTAAGTCGTGAGTTGGGAGGAGAGGCCCTCCTTTTTGTCCCTCTGTGCTTCCTTTTCTGCTTTCCAATTTCTTCTTCCAACTCCATGGTCCTCAGCCTTTCTTCTCATCTCCCTCCACTATCTTCTCCCTGCTTTTCCTTTTTTTCTGTCTCCAGAGGGTCTCCATTTATTGTCATTGTGCTTCTGTGTCTCATGACTTAACCCTTGGATGTGAGGCAAGGTCTCACTGACATAGCTCTGGCTGTCCTTGTGTTCTCAGCAATTCTCCTTCTAAGTTCTGGAATTACAGATGTGTGCCACTATGTCCAACTAGTGGATTTTGAATTCTGACCAGCTCTGATGACTTTAAACATTTTTTTTGGTGTGTGTGTGTGGGGGGGGGATGGTGTTCTACCTCCCTCTCACATGGTGACAGATAACTCAAGCCAAGCTGTGTGTGTGTGTGTGTGTGTGTGTGTCCCTTCCAGTGTGTTCACACATTTGCTGCAAAAAGATTACCATGTCTGATGGAGGACATGGACCGTGCCTGCCTCAGGCCGCTGGGGGTTTGCATGATAGGTGCAGAATGGCCTCTCTAAAATTGGATCAACCTTGAATTCTGAAATGCATCTGTCCCTGAAGACCTCAGCTAAGGGACTGGTGACTTGCAGTTTGGCACACTGTCAAATCTAGATTTATCTTAATTACTAGTTCAACATTTATTTAATGGTTTTGGAAAAAACCCCTAATTTTCCTTTTTTTTTTTCTCATACAGCCCAAGTTGTTCTTGAACTTGCTGTGTAGCAGAGAGATGACTTAACGAACACATGTCTACTCACCCCAAACAGGGCACTGTCAAGTGAATTTTGGGGGAGGGGCCTCAAGTACAGGAGAGTGTGGGTGACCCCACTGAAAAGCCCATTCTGGCTGGTGACTGACAGTTCATGGAAGGGGCGTTCTGGAGCTGAGCAGGCCAGTCTCATGTCACCACTCTTTGAACCCAATTGACATGCTGGTCAAAGTCATTCAGCTTTCCCAGAGCTGCTCATGCCTTGAAGATCATACCATGGACCTCAGAGAGGCCCTTAGGACCTGTATCATCCCAAGACCCCCGTGGGATCACCCTCTTGCTATTTATTAGTGATCATGTGTGCACAACTTGTGGAGGTTAGAGGATGACTTTTAGCAAGTTTTTTTCTCCTGACACTATGGTACCCAGGCATTGAACTCAGGCCCTCGGGTTTATGCCACAGACATCGAGACTCAGTGAGCTATGTCCTGGATCTGTATAAATGCCATGACGTCATGATCACTCCATGGTGTGGTTAAGGGGGAAGGTTTTTTAGATAGGTGGGGGGAGAACGTAGCCAGAGGCCTCTGGAAGAATCCAGAGCAGAGAGAAAGAAGACTGAACATGGCCGGGCCAGAGCAGGGCAAAGAGACGGGGTGGAGGAGGAGAACAGGAGAGGAAGACAGAGTTCAGACGAGAGAGAGGGAGCATAATCAAAATAGGGCTTTAAGAAGAGTCAGTAGCTGGGGGAAGGAAGCTCATGAGCAGGAGTTTAGGGTAGGGAGGAGGTGAGAAGATCAGAGTCGGGATGCTAGCATGAACTCTGAAACGTGGAGCAGGCATGTGTGGTACTGAGGAGCCTGGAGGCCAACATGTGCTTTGGTATGCCAATAGGCACCACTGATACCACTTTGTCCCTTTTGCTAGTGATAAGGAAAATGATTTGTTTTGGTAGAGGGAAACCTGCTTCATAAGTTCCTGAGGAATGCTGGCCTTTGTCTAACCACCAGAATTTAGGGAAGTGGAGTTTCTTTTTGAGCTGGCAGGATCATTTTTCTTTCTCTCTTTTATTCTTTCTTTTTTACATTTATTTATTTTACATGTATTGGTGTTTTGCCTGCATGTGTGTCTGTGTGAAGGTGTCAGGTCTGCTGGAACTGGAGTTACAGACAGTTGTGAGCTGTCATGTGGTTGCTGGGAATCGAACCCGGGACCAGTTGGCAGCCAGTGCTCTCAACCACTGAGCCACTCTCCAGCCCCAGGCTCATCTTTCTTAAGTCTCCTGTAGTTCTCTGGCCTGGTGAACTGAGCATCAGATGTTGCTCTTCTCATGCCGCGTTCTCATCAGTACCAATCATTCCTCTGTCTCTGATGCCCATGGGGACATGTGTCCCTAGTGTCCCATAGAAGCCAGGCTCACAGGGTCTGCTCTCCCTCAGGTCATCTCAGCTTATGCAGCCTTTGTCTTGAAGAGGGACGGATAGCTCCATTGCGCAGTTTTTTTCTGCCTCCAAGGCAGCCAGACTGAGTCCGTACGCCCCCACGTCTCACAGTCTCACAAGCTAGCGGTGACAGGCTCTTTCACTGCATGTTTAAAAGTCTTTGCCAGTTTGAGTAGTTTGGGTGCAGAGTGTTCCCTGCCAGTCGTCCCCTTGGATCATCCATTCTTGTGTGTTGAATCCCGGATTCTGTTTCTCTCTATTAAACGTCGGGCTCAGGGGCTGGCTCCTGTTACTCCCCCTGCCCTCTTCCCCATTCTTGTTTCTTTCTGTGGGTTCCCAGTTCCAGCAGCCCTAGGCACCCATCTCACCTGTGCACTTTTGCCTCTCTAGCCAGAAAACATGGCAACCCAGCTCCTTCATCTCATCCTGTCTCTTGTATCAGATTTACTGTGCAGTATCAGAGGCAAGCCCACCTGCCAAGTCAGAGGCTAACGTGGAGGATGCTGGGTGCATGTTCTTGGTCCCATCACCCAGGAATGGTCACACAGTGGCCAAGCCTGTCCCACGTGTGCTACTCTTGGGAACTGCAGGGTGTTTCATGTTCCTACAGCCATGTTCAGTGACTTCATCCTGAGGCAGTGGACGCCACTTATCCAGTCAGGACTCCACTTCATACCACGTTACGAAAACATAGCCACCATGGGATTTTCCACCTTGGTTCCGTAGTCTGTCAACCGTCTGGGATCAGAAGACCACCACTCGGCAAGGAGACACACTGCCACCCCATGCTGTAAAGAATGGGAGCTATGTCTAGGTGGAGAAGTGAGTGCCCTTGCCTCATCCTGTGCGGGTTAATCCAATGGGCAGGACAGACTGGTTTACAGAGGAGACTTTGTCTGGAAAGGAAAACCAAACAACAAAGTAGGGCTGCCATAACTCGGCGCTTACCTAGCACGCACACAGCCGCGGTGTTCATTACTGTCCTCAACCAGATGAGATCTGGAGTTGCCTAGGAGACAAGCCTCTGGGCATATATGTGGGGGATCATCTAGATGACCTGAGGTGGGAAGACCCTCACACTGTGGATGACACCATCCCATGGCGTGGGATCCTGGACTGAATATGAAGGAGAAAGCAAGCTGAATGCGTCATTCATCTCAACAACCTGAACGGGAACAAGGTGTGATTAGCTGCCTCAACTCCTGCTGCCCCATGGGCTGTTCTCTAGTTAACCCTTCCTTCTTTAAGTTGCCCAAGTGCTGGGATTAAAGGCGTGACCACACCTGGCTTTGTCCTTGTTTTTTGAGACAGGGTTTCTCTGTGAAGCCCTGTCTGTCCTGGAGCTAGCTCTGTAGACTGTAAAGATTTGTCACTCATTTTTGTTTAATAAAATGCTGATTGGCCAGTACCCAGGCAGGAAGTATAGGTGTGGCAACCAGGCTAAGAGAATTCTGGGAAGAGGAAAGGCAGAGAGTTGTTTACTAGACAGATACAGAGGAAGCAAGATGAGAAAGCCCTACTGAGAAAAGGTACCATGCCACATAGCTAAATATAGATAAGAATTATGGAATTTAAGTTGTAAGAGTTACTTAATAATAAACCTGAACTAATAGGTCAAACAGTTTATAATTAATATAAGCCTGTGTGTGTTTCTTTGGGACTGAATGGCCATGGGACCAGGTGGGACAGAAACTTCTGTCTACAGTAGACCAGGCTGTGCCTCGAACTCACAGAGATCTACCCGTCTCTGCCTCTGTAGTGCTGGGATCAAAGGCATGTGCCACCACCATCCAGCATACACTGCTGAGTTGTTTGGTTTTTTTTTGTTTTTTTGTTTTTTCGAGACAGGGTTTCTCTGTGACTTTGGAGCCTGTCCTGGAACTAGCTTTGTAGACCAGACTGGTCTCGAACTCACAGAGATCCGCCTGCCTCTGCCTCCCGAGTGCTGGGATTAAAGGTGTGCGCCACCATCGCCCGGCACACTGTTGAGTTTTGAGACCATCTTAGATTATGTAAGATCTTGTCTCAAAACTCAGACCAAGACAGAACAAAATCACAGTCTTTCAACTTCGGCATTGTTGAAGTTGTTCACCAGAGATGTTTATAAACCACTTGAATAATTTAAAAAAGGGAAAAATGCCATCTTAATTGCTAGACATTCTGTCTCATCTTAATTACAATAAGTAAACATGGAAATGATACCAGAAAAATCTTCCTCCTGCAAGGATGCTATTTAAGGCTAGTGGAATCTTTCTGGGAAAGGCTGTAGCTGTGCTGCGTAAATCTGGATTGGGAAACTGGGTGGCGGCGGCACACACCTTTAATCTCAGCACTCTGTAGGCAGAGGCAGGCAGATCTCTGGTTTATAGAGTGAGTTCCAGGACAGCTGGAGCTACACAGATCAGCCCTGTGTTGGGGGGAATAAAACCTCATTGGGGGCCTCCAGGGTTTGAACATTTATTTCCTCCAAATTGGTATCCAGAAGCAAGTTATGGCAGCAGACGTCTGTGGCCCTACTTGCAAGGCAGGCACATCAGCATCCCTGTGAGTTCAAGGCCATCTTAGGCTGTACAGTGAGACTCCACATGGCCCATCCTCGTTTGGTTTCTATTGCTGTGACCAACACCACGAGCACAATCAACGTGATGAAGGAAAGGTTTCTCTGGTTTATGAGTCCCAATCACCGTTCCCTCACTGAGGGAAATCAGTCAACTCAGGCGACTCACAGTTGCCTGTAGTTCCAGTTCCAGGAGATCTGACGCCCTCTTCTGGCTTCTATGGGCACTACACACACTTGTCATATACACACAAGGAGCGGCGTATATAAATATACATAACTGAAAAATAAATACTTAAAAATTTTATTTTTGAAGAGAGGGTTTCTCTTTGTAGCCCTGTCTGTCCTGGACCTCTGTAGACCAGGCTGGCCTCGAACTCACAGAGATTCACCTGTCTCTGCCTCCCAGATTCTGAGATTAAAGGTGTGCACCACCAGTACCCAGCCATAAATCTGTTATTACGAAGTCAGTTACCCACACGATGGAAGGAGAGAACTGACAATCTTCAGTGTTCTCTATGCATGGTGTGGCATGTGTGTAGTTATATGCACACAAACACACATGCTAAATAAATGTGGAAAATATTTTAATAGCTTCAAAGGCTGGCCATGCTGGGTCCTGTATGTAATGGAGGCACCTAGGAGGCTGATATAAAATGATCATGAGTTTGAACTACACACTGAGTTCCAGAACAACTTGGACTACATAGCAACGCAAGTCTCGAAAAATCCAATTATTGGCCGGGCGGTGGTGGCACACGCCTTTAATCTCAGTACTCGGGAGGCAGAGGCAGGCGGATCTCTGGTAGTTCGAGGCCAGCCTGGTCTACAAGAGCTAGTTCCGGGATGAGCACCAAAGCTACAGAGAAACCCTGTCTCGAAAAACAAAAAAACAAAAAAAACAAAAAAACCCCCAACAAATCCAATTATTAATTTTTTTTTTTGTTTAAGACAGGGTCTTACTATGTAACCCTGGAATTCAATATGTGGACCAGGCTGGCCTCAAACTCAGAGATCCGCCTGCCTTTGCCTTCTGAGTGATGCGTTAAAGGTTTGTGCCAACAAGCCTGACAAAAAAATTATAATGATAAAGTTTATGTTGTATATATTTTATCATGACTTTAAGAATAAATCCCAGCACTCAGGAGGTGGAGGCAGGTGGATCTCTGTAAGGTCAATCTGGACTACAGAGCGAGTCTGGAACAAGCAGGGCTACACAGAGAAACCTTTGAAAACCGACTGCACGGGAGGCCTTACCCTTTCTGAGTGGAGTTGGAGGAGAAGTGGATGGGGGACAGGGTGGAAGGAAGGTGGGGGAGGGAACAGGAGGAGAGGAAGGAGGGGAAACTGGGTGGTATGTAAAATAAATAAAAATTTAATAAAAAGGACTTTGTGTAGAGAGACCCTGTCTCAAAACAAACAAAAACAAAACACAAAAATCCATAAAGTGTTCTGTGAGTTGAGGGAAATGGCTCAGTTTGTAGCATTTAGGCCTAGCAAGTGCAAGAGCCTGAGTTTGAGTCAGAGAATAAAGCCATATAAAAAACAAAAAACCAAAAAAAAAAACCAAACAAAAAAAACAAGTTGTGGTGGCACATGCAGGGAGGCGGAGGCAGAGGGCTTCTGCGGTCTGTGCTAGCCAGCCTGGGTGAATCAGTGAGCCCCTGACTAGGTGGAAGCCTAGGAAACAACAACAGGCGATCAGCTCCTGAGGAATGACAGCTTAGGTTGTGTCTAGCCTTTATAAACACCAGCCTGCTCTACAAGAGCAAGTTCCAGGACCGCCAGCGCTATACAGAGAAATCCTGCCTTGAAAAAAAATCACATTGAAATCATGCATCTATGTGGAATATGCTCCTGCACACTTGCATGCATTTGCACACACACACACACACATACACACACGCAGAATTTCTTGGCGAGATAAAGGTAGTGTCTCTCTATAGTGCGATGACAGAGATTCTACCTCAGACCCCGGTTAAAATGATCAGAGTGTCTCCACGTCTGAGGATGCACATACCTCTGCTTGTGTGCCCTTGCACACACATCCTCCTCCACAGCAGGTGTGAAAACATAGTCTGAGAAATCAGACATAAATGAGTTCGTGAAGATACCAGCTTTCCCATGTGTGCTCTGGGAGCCCGCATGAATATTAATAACCCAACCAGCTTGTTCTGGAAGGAATGTATCTTGGAATTATCCCCAGAGCGAAAAGTCCTAGAAGCCTCGAGGGGATTGTAAAACCAATGCCATGCCGCGTGACTGTGTCCTTCCAAGGGGAGCCCTCTACTCCATCTGTCCATCTGTCAGGGCCGTGCGTTGCTTTGGTGTTCTCACTGAAGGCCCCACTGTGTATTCGCCATTCTCTGTTGCCTTAGCAATAGGATGCCCTCCTGAGGATGAGAAAACAGATGAATGCAGCGAATTAAACCCTGGTGGGCTAGCCAGCCAAAGTAGTCCACACCATTAATCCCAAGAGTCTCCATAGTACATGGGCCAGCAGAGCCCACATAGTGAGACCCTGCCTGAAAAAAAAATCATCTGGATGTGGTAACCCCTGTTCTACATATTTAAATGTATATATATTTAAAGCAAAGCCCCAGATCATTAACTTGGGTGAGCTCAGAAGGCATGTGAGTAGTGTGCAACCACAAGAGGGCGCGAGCTGCACATTGAGAATCAGAGGAACATTTTAATTAAGACTCACCCAGCTGGAGTCTTAGCTTCCCAGGCTAAGACTCAGAGATCAGTGCTCTGCCCTGCAGGCGCTTTGAGGTTTTGCCTTTAGGTTTCTTCTTACTGTCAAGCGAAAGCTGGATGACCTAAGATGACCTAGGATCCATTTACCCTGCTCATGTTAGATGCTTCGGAGTCCAGAATTTTCTGGTGACAATAACAAGAACATGCTTTGGGATGGCCCCTCCACTTTGAAGAACAGTTTGGTCCAAGGAATGGCTTGAATCGGTAACTCCCTGCCCACCAAAAAAGAACTCACCCTCAAACTACCTAGAAGGTGTGGATGTATCGTTATTTGAAAAGGGGGGCTTTGTGGGTAAAAGGACAAGTGTCCTTAGAAGAGACAGGAGGGCACTTGGGAGGAGAGGGCTTTGTGAGGCTGGAGGCAGAAGTTGGGGTGATGTAGCCAGTGGAAGAGGTCTAGAAAGACCCTTCTATGGAGGGTAGAAGGGGAGGAGGAGAGGAGAAGGGGAGGGGTGAGGAGAACTTGAGGGAATGGGATAGTTGAGATGGAGGAAGGACAGAGATGAGAAGGGAAGAGATATTTTCATCGAGGGAGCAGTTATAGAGTTAGCAGAAACCTGGCTCTAGAGAAATCCCAGGGAATCTACAAGGATGACCCCAGCTACGACCCTAAGCAATAAAGGAGAGGGTGCCTGAACTGGCCCTGCCTTGTAGTCAGACTGATGAATATCTCAAATTTCACCATGGAAACTTCATCCAGCAACTGATGGAAACAGAGGCAGAGACCCGCATGGGAGCACTGGACTGAGCTCCCAGTGTCCAGTTGAAGAGTGGGAGGAGTGAGAATATGAACAAAGAGGTCAAGACCATGAAGGGTTCATCCACTGAAACAGTCCACCTGAGCTAATGGGCGCTCACTAACTCCAGCTGGACTGGGAAGGAACAAGCATAGGATCAAACTAACCTTCTGATGTGGGTGACACATTCAGTTGTATGGCTGGGGCAGGCTGAGGGGCCACTGGTAGGGGCACCAGGATTATCTCTACTGCTTGTTCTGGCTTTTTTTGGAACCTATTTTCTTTGGACGGATGTTTTG